AGAGAGTTATAGTGAGCAAAGGGATAAACATGTTGGGTCCTGTATTATATCTGGAAATAACAGAGTGAAATTACCATTTCGATGAGATAAAATTCACAAATATGACTAACTGCAGTGACAGATGATTTCTCCTATAACTAAGCAGCTCTGTATTGTGGAACAAGTTAGATTCCAGATTAGAGATCAAGAGGTAGAAAATCGCTGCAGTACTTCGGTAAATAGCTTCACCATTCCTGGAAGATCATTTGGATCTATGTGGGAAGAATGGATGGCATCTAAAGTATTTGTATTTCCCTAATGAGGATCAGTAATTTGTTATTGCAGCAAATTGTTATTGTTCTATAGTCATCATTATATGATCATAAAACAGGACACCTACACTTTATTTGCTGACCTCTTACCAAATTTCTGTGTATGCACCGAGTCTGCACCTGAGAGAATAAAATAAATCTATTATGGGGCTGATTGCCACAAGGTATGGAGTAGGTTATCAATGGGGTTTCAGTAAAAAAAAAAAAAGTGAGTTAAAAAAGAATAACAACAACCTTGTATTTAAGCTGTGAATTTGAACCAGTGATAATTACTATGAATTATGTATGTATTATATATGAGAAATCTGCAGTGCTTTAACAACCTTTATTAAAGACACAATAAAAACTGAAGACAGATTCCACATCCATGATTTTGAATTGATGTTTCATTGATATCATTTTGAAAAAGCAGGTTGTTCTGTATATTTGTTTAAACAGACTTTTGGTGCAAGATTTTCCAACTGATAAACCGAATTCAATACCAGGAATTCAATTTGAATAGGGATCCACAGGACATGTGGAACAGCTTAAGTCTACCTTACTACCAAAAGAAGTGCAAACTGTGCATTGCATTGTCATAGGAATGCCTGTATGTATTATGCAATGTATTATTTTGGTTAATTAGAATGTGTATAAAATGTTGTTAGACTTGATTGTAATCTCTTTTATACTGCTCTTTAACATGAACCAAGAATGCCTGTTCAATCAGCTTCATGAGAATAATTGGCAGCTATTCGTTATTCTGGTTAATAAAACTCTCTTATCAAGGAGTGCACTCTTAGTGCTGCTGTTTATACCTAAGGTGATGGCTGCACATTGGAGCTCT